GGGGGGGGCGGTGGTCGGCGGAGGGTGCTACAAGGCGCGGCGCCTCGGGCTCAGAGCTCTGCGGTGGCGCGTCGCGATGCTCGCTTGTTGACTCCGCTGCGAAGGCCCCCGCCCGCTCGGCCTTCATGCGCCGATGTGGTGGGGCAGCGCGCAGTAATCGGCGCTTTGAGTTCTCAAAATCCATGGACAGATGCATGCAAAAGCAAACATTCTTATTGTAATTTTACTTAATTTACTGATAACAATTATCGCACTGCACCTAAAGAAAATTCCCTCAACGGCAGATCCATGGACCGATGCATGTAAAAGCAAACATGCTTTTTGTAATTTTCTTTCAATTATTGATTACAATTATATCCATGTTATCGCAGTGCACCTATAGGAAATTCTCTTTTTGTACATAAAAGTATTGTTTTCGTTGTTTATTCGACCGGAAAAGGTGGCTCAGGGCATCAACTGATGTTACTGTTGTGCCTCTGTCCGGGAGATTCTGGGATTCGAGTCTCAACGGTGGCAGATTTTCCGATACTAGCTGATTTTCGAACAGATCTGCCGGCCGCTAGAGTTCTCCAGGCAGCGGCTGATTTCGACCAGACTATCAACCAAGTGTCGAAACTCATCCTGATCGTTTGAGGGTGGTGGCGCAATTCCGGCTTTAGATTCGGATTCAGCGCGTCGACATACAAAGAGATCCTCTGTCAAGTCTTAGTCCTACAACTAACGTGCGAGAAGTATATTTGTTATTATTATTTTTATTATTATTATCGTTATCGTTAATATTGATGTTATAAATATTGTTGTTGCACGGAGCAGAGCAAAGCATTGGTGGAGTGATCAACAAAAATCATATATTAGGAACTGTTCGGAATAGCAAGATAAAAACCAAGTTGGTTCATTGGGTAGTATTTATAATATGTTTAATTAAATTTCATGTTTATAGGAGCAATATAAATCTGAATTAAATCAGTTTGTACACACAGGCAGACAGACAATTCATTTTACGTGCCTATTGTTTTAGGTATCTATTAAGCAATCTGAAAAAGTATTTTATAGCCGAAAATTCGACACTTCAGATTTATTTATTTATTATTTTTTTATTTTTTTTATTTTTATTTATTTATTTTTATTTATTTATTTTTATTATTAATGACTTGGTGTTTTATCTTCTAACTTTCCGACTATTGTCGAATGTATTTCCATATGCTTTGTTTATTGCATAGACTTGATTTGTGAGAGTTAAAAGTGAAATAAAATGATCTGCAGTACCTTAGTATCATGATAAGCCGTTTCAATGAGGTATTGGAATTTACTCGAGAATTTCTGTTGATATTCCATTAGAGATTGTGTATAATTTTTGACCAAAATATTTTATGCGTGTCAGTTTTACTCGATATGTTTGCTGATATTCAACCTCAATTTTATAGAATTCTAATTCATTATATTGTCTTCCACTAATTTTCTAGAGATTAACACGCCAAAATGTATGTGAAATTATGACATAAAACTAAGAGTGTTTTCCTTTTGGGTATTGCAATACTGTATGCTGTTAATGCAATGTTTAATTACATTTAATAATAAGGGGGTGAAGTTGTTCTTTTTCTTTGACTTTTTCCAAAGTTGCAACAAAAAGTACATATCTACTTCGAGATGGCCGTTTTCTGGATATTCTTATTGTAACAACTCTAATGAAAACAGTGAAACGTGTTAAAACATATTTTAATATTATGATTCACGTTTCACATATTATAAAATACATAAACATAACCCATATTTGAAATGAATATTTTATCAAGAAATATAATAAAATCTGTAACTATGAGCCATGTTCTTCATAATTATTAACAAAAAATTAGGTTTTTTCAAGTATGAATCATCAAGAATGTGTTTCAGTTGTGGAACTAGTGGATGAGTATTCACATTCCTCCGACCTCACACAAGTCCCATTGCTTCGACGAGAGCACACCAAGGGATGACTGCACACACTCCACACACCGACTCCTCCCTCCACGCTGCCGTGCTCGACCACGGTGATGTTGCACACCTCTCCAGCACCTGCAAAACAATAGAATGATATACGCCCCATCATCATGTGCATATAAAGTGTGTGGGCTGTGAGACTGAACACTTGTCCGTTTAGCTGAGAAAAACAAATTGCCTGACTGGTTAGCGATTATCAAAAAATTCAGGATTTTATCGATAATGAGAAAGTATGTGTTGTCATAGCACCAATTGCATCACAATTGTGATTTTCAAGTTTCACAGTGATAAATACAAACTACAGGTATTGTTAGAATAAAAATATAGGTATCTCTCACATGGTCTGAGGTTGCATAGTTTTTATCAGTCGCTGCTAGGAAATTAGTAATATAGATTAACAAGTTATGACATTAATAAATCAGAGAATTTATGCGAATGACGTCTACTTGCCTACGTAGCGGACACACAGATTGCAAAAATTGCACAGTCCTCCACGTTCAATGAAGTCTCCACCCGATGCAGTGCAGTTCTCTTCCGTGATATATAGACATCGTATTTGGATTCCTGCGCAAAACTTCGCATCCCTCGGGCGTTCACACACCAGCGCCACCACAGTCCCAACGGCGAGGCCGAGAACCACGCTCAACAGCGGAAAGCGTGTGCTGCCACCGATCATATTGCCTTCAGACCGAGATGAAGATATCTGGAATTCAAGCAATGGGGAAATTATATGTTGCTGCTTGACTATTTGAAATTCATGTAGTAGTATAAAATTGCGGAGCAGTTACGAATGTGAAAAAGTATGCGCTATTGGAGCTCCACTGTAAGTTATGTTTTGGCAAAAAATTAAATATTAATCCACTTTTAAACTCGAAAAAATAACAACTTATTGTTACAGAAACTTTTACAGACACTATAAGAAAAACAAATTCATGATTTATTTTGCAGAGTGAAACAGTAAAAATTTTATATTTTACGAAACTTATATTTTCGTATTAAAACGGTAGAATGGATACTACGAGAATTTCTTTATGTAATAGTACCTTTCTGAAACAACTAAAAATTACAGCGTCACAACAGACTTTCAAAACGCAAACTGCTATCAATGCCCGTTTACTTCGTACACCGGTCGAACAACCAGCGCTTTGGTTGCAAATTCCAGAATTCCAGTCCACGGACTCCCACAAGTTCGAACAGATGCACTAGCACTTGCGATTCCTCTCCATTTTTTTTTTCAAAATTAGAGTAAAATAAAATATTTAAAAAAAACTTTCGTTATTTGAACAATAAAAGTAAATATTGTCAATTTTGAAGAGCGGTCTTTTATAAAGAGTAGAACCTCACTAATCCGAACACCGCAAATCCGAAATTTTGGTTAATGCGAACAAAATTTGGGATGGAGGAAAAATAAACAAAATGTATGAAATGCTTATTTCTAGTGTTAAGAAAGAATTTTATAATAAGTGAATAACGTAACATGTAATTATTGAAAGAAACAAGTTGTTGAAATGAAACTTTTATTGCACAGGTAACTACGATCTTTATCACATGTTTATGTAGCAGTAATTTTCAGTTAGAGGATCTCGCAAAATCGATAATCTTCAGTTTCCGTAAGGAACTGAATCTTCTTGATGATTCGTTGTGATAACGTGATCATGAAATTCCTTAGCTACGTTGTATTGCCTGATAATCCTATAAATATATTTGTATATGTACAGTAAATTGTTTCGAATACACCGAACATTTCCGAATCCGAACAGACCAAACTCTCAATTAGTTATTAGTTCGGAGGCTCTACTGCACTTCGTAAAATAATGTCAAAGAACATCATAATATTAAATTTAGAATTTCATATTTTGCGCAAATAAGTAAGAAATCTCAAGTCTTCTCGTTTTTTAATAACATATTAACATAATACTATCTTTGCATCTTACCGTGCCTTTAATATCGTAACGTACAATTCAGAGGCTTGTCCTAAAATGTTGGGTTCCAGGATGTAGCCACTTGTATTTTTACTTAGAGCATTTATTTAAAACAAATGTGACGTTAGTCGTGGGTATACAAGTTAGTTCTGTAATTAGTAGAAAGTAAAAATTGAAAGTACTACGAAAAAACAACAACATTCGAACACACTCAAACCAATTTGTTGGAAAAATCTCCACAAGTCAATCGTTGTAGGCCAAGTACTCACCTTGGCGGTCTCTGCTGAACACGTGGCTGTTGAGTGAACTCGCAGAGGAGCAGTATTATATAACACAAGGTTATCGCATTCTTATATCATCACTTCGCATGTAAAATAGCCGCACGGAAGATAGTTCGAAACGTCTCTGCAAGTAACATTGATAAATGCGCCATTCCTGCCTTTTTAGCGTGTAATCCTAATATGAAAATATATTCTCCACGCGAGTTGATTACAAAATGTTTCCCCATATTGTCATATCTGCCGGCTTTGAGTTTGGCTTGGCTCATGTCATTCCATTGTTTTTATTGCTTCTCCGGTTTCCGCATAGCTTTCATTTTGCAGCAACCTGACTGGTTGGAGTAAACCGGTTTTAGAAGAAAAACGTGCATGATACTATATGCTGAGATAAAGTAGTTAATAGACAATGAGAAACCTTGGCGTGACTTAAGTTTTATTTATAAAGTTTCTATTTTATACTTGTAAATAAAAATATTAATTAATACAATGCATCAATGTCAGAATGTGAGTTCATCAGATTCACCGTATTGTACCACCTACACTCTAATGTGACAGTAAATGTAACAATTATTTTGGCATTCGTCTGCGCGTCGCGAAATGTTATATTTCTAGTCTATTTCTCCTTTAGTAGATTGACTTACAAACAAAATAACAACGATTCAATATCAGAGTCCCTCACGCGCGCGTGGAATACCTATCACACAATTAATGGAGGAATTGAGGATCGCTATTGTCCGAGACCAAGTACAAAAAAACATGTCCTTCGCAAGGCGTTATAGGACCGCCCCAAAACGGTGATTCTACCTAGGCCTTCTCCGATGTCGTTGTTGAACTTTGGCTTTTCACCTCCTCGAGTCCGGCTGTCTACAATGCATCGTCCTTCACGTTGCACTCCGTGTCGTTCGCTCTCCGGTGTCGTTTTTCAAAATTTATTCGCCTTGGTTATGGCGACACGAATTTCCAAATCCTCCAAATACCATAGAAAGTACCACATTACAAAAACGTCAAATGTATTCAAGTAATGAAACAATATTCTTTTCCCAGCGCACGATCCGACATTCATGGCTGCCTGCCTCCTTCTTCTCTCTTCTGTCTGGCTCCCCTCCCTTCGCGTCGGTCGGCAGATATACTACCATTCATTTGTCTCAGAATTTACATAAACACTGCTTCTCTTGCAGAGGGCACGGTCCGCGCTATTTAAATGTAGTGTTCTTATCTTCCACAGATAGTTAACGGTTACAGTACGTAAAGTGTAAAGAAATAAATTGGAGCAGTGTTTCTCAAAGTGGCGTTTAAGCGTTTCTAAAAATGAGGAAATTCGAGCTCATTTTGACAGAAAACTTTTGCTTTCATCGAGGAACCAGACAAGACATTATTTGACACACATGTACTCATAAATCCGATAGAGTGTACAAATTGCCATTAATGTAAATATTAACAACGTGACCGACGAATAAACAAATACATTTTTGAAAAATAAAATTGTAGAGCAAAATGTCGTTTTAAGAAAATTTTGATAATGTCCCAGGGACTTCATGTAAAATAAACTCAAAAATTAAAAAAAAAGTTATTCGAAATCCCAGAGCTTCCAGTAGAGCCCAGTTCAACCTGGAAATATCCATTTTTGAAAAATATCGTATGATTAGTTTCAGCGCTAGTGGTGTTCACGGACGGACGTACAGACGCATAGACGGAAAAACGGACGTACGGAGGTTAAAATGACAAAAGAAAAAATAGAACTCTTTTACGGTATCAGGGGACCTCCAAATGTTTCTTTCTGTTGAATTCTCAAAATCGATATTCCGCAGATATGGAAAACACACGTTATACCTATATTACTCCGTTTACACGAAAAAGTAAAAATGGAACCTAAGTTTCATCTGAGAAAATTGTTCTCCATACGAATACGTACACATCGAAATATTGGCGCCAACTTCATGACTTATTTGCTGAATAAAGGTTTACATTCACGCATAAACACATTTACCGAATTAAAATTCCATTTGTTAAAATTCAGTGCATTAATTGGCATATTTTCTTGTTCTTTCCTAGTTCCCACCTGTGACCCTCTTCACTCCTCGTACTAATACCGCTTGTACAATACTACGACATGTTTTGTTACAAGTCTTTCACCAAACTTCTCTTGGACCCATTTTTACGGTGTCACGTCAAGAATGTTTCAGGTCAAGCACGCCTTACTTCAATAGAAGTAGCTCAATCTATGCTTGAATTTTGTCTTTTTGCACAAGAAATATGAGTTAAGGCGATAAAGTTGTCAATAAATCTCTATGATAAATATTTTATAACAATACTCCTCAGTTATTTTATTATTATATTTTATTTTTACGATTTAATATTCCGTAGCAATTTTTTTCATATTTTACGTTAATGCATCGTACTACTTACGAACCCTTTTGAGCATAATTATTTATTATTTTGCGTAGTATTAAAGAAATTAATCATAGAATTCTCTAAAAAGTATTCGCTTACTTTATACAGCAACTCAAAAGTATTCCTTTCTTTGCCTGCTGGAGAAACCGACTATCACATACAATGTTCTTCAATTTCTTTTATTTTGCCTAGCTTATTGTCTTTTTTGAATTCTTTTCTTCTCATCTATTATTCACTGTACTCTCCCCGTTTTCATAAGTATTTCTAACATTTCTTCTCTTTTTTTGCTGCTATCGCCATTATCTTCATAGCAATACAACAATTTCCTTCTATTTCTGGTATCACCTTGGCAGCCATTTTCGACGTTTCCGTTGCTACGTACTGTATATCCATCTCAAGAAGAGCACTTTTTACAAACGCGTCAAATATAAAGACACATTTGTCTATTTACGTATTGAAGGATATTTCTGACAATCTTTGCTAATAATTTAAAAAACATTTTCTCTATATTTTATATTTATTTATTAATTTTATTATTATTTTTATTTATTAATTGTTTTATATTTATTAATTTTATAATTATTTATGTATTTGCTATAAATGTAATGCTTCCCTCAATGTCAACCCACCATTATACAAGACGAGGACTGTGAGTCCGCAGACAAAGGTTTGCTGTCAGTGTTGTCCTGGAATGTAGATCTGTGATTTGTGATTTTTAAAACCTTATTTTGCAATCTTGACATTTCTAATGATATTTAAAACAAAACGAAACTATTAATTTATTTATGATTAGGAGAAATTTGATTAGAATAGCAGACAGTCATTCGGATTGTCTATTAGTGATCTCAGTCCGCTGGGAAGCTATAAGATTTAAAAAATAACTGTGTTTTATCCTTACATTGGATTACATAATCGAATTTTACAATAATTACAATATTCAGTATTAAAAAAACCACACGAATCTGTTTATTATTAAATGGTACTAAATGTCAATTTGTTATATACCATGTCTAATTTCTCGTTTTGGGCTTTTCAGAGGAGTCCAAATCACAATTTTTTCTTAATTTTACAATACATTTACTAGATTTTTCTTAGTACACAATATTTGACAATAAGAGGAAGAATTATATACAGTAAATTCCTTTAGTGAGATTGTAACCTCCTTTCTACTGTAATATGCCGGTAATTACTCTATTTTTATTTAATTACTGTTTCCCACTTGGACAAGCGAACAAAACCACTTAATAATTACCTGTAAATATTTACATCAACTTGAACTACTTTCTATAAATATTTATGTAATTGTTTTGCCCTGCCATTGGTTGATTTGATTAGAGGTTGATTTTATTACTATCTTGTTTGTGGGTATCTACATACAACAAATTAGATCTTACCTTGCTTTATGTGGATGTGCTGTCTGTACAGACCCGCGATTTCTGGAAACTCTGTTAAATAAAAACTCTTTAAATTGATAGCAACTGACTACAAATTATCAGCATTTTCCAGAAAATAATTTTAACAATTTAATATTACAATAGTAAATAAACTCATTAATTTTTTAAATGAAAGAATTGTCTTTTCTCTTCAGCTCAATTCGTTACGATCTGATATCTTCGTGCGCATTGGAGACTTCCCGGTTGAAATGTCCACCTCGTGCCTCCTTTCTTGATGTCACTTCCCCCCATTTATTGTTTTTTGTATTTTATGGGGATTTGCTTCTTCCTGTTCCGTCTTGTCACCATATTTGTTTCTCCACTCGGGTTAGTTTATTCACTAATCGCCCGGACAACCTGTATTCCTTGACTTCTGCATTCCTACATTTCACGAATTGACTTAATATTTACTGTATATTACAATGCCGTTCATGTTAATAAAAAATGAGTGTCTTTTTGGTTCGACACATTACTTTCAGTTGAAAATTTCTCCCGTATGGTTTCCACTTTGCGTTTCAGATCTTTTTTCTTTCGTGAGATCCTGTTACATTTAGCCAATTTCTCTCACGACCAACTCCAATTCCAGAAGCAACTACAATGAATGTAGGTCTCTTCATCATTGCTCTACCCTCGTAGTTTCCCAAAGAGGTCCCGGGTATCTCTTCCCTGGGGGTCGACAAAAGATTTAAATGAGTCAGTGATGATCAAGGGTCAATAAATGAATATGCACGAGCTTTGAAATGTGTAATCTAGGTTCTATTAGATACAAGTATAAATTTAGTAGTAATTTATTTTTAAAGATAACAAGCCACTAATAATACTTGTTTATTTGTGAAAAAGTTAAAAATTGTAACTTAGTTATTATTAAAATTACAAATTTAGAAGAATAGAAAAGTAATAAAACGTAAATTTAATAAACCATTTTTCTCAAAACACACGTTCATATATTTTCTATGCAGTGGTTACCAAATCATTCATATGCAAATATTTGGGTTATGATTATTTTGTACGTAGTACACTATAGAAAAATATTACAGGAGCCTATGAAGCTTTTAATCATTTTAAAAGCAAAATGTCGAAATTCTGGAAAAGGAAAACAACAAAGCTGAATGTCCAAGTGCAGACTTTTTTCGTCATGCCCTGCTGTCGGTCCATTTGCACCCAAACCATCCGCTTCTCCAGAGGCAAGTGCAATGCACTTGGGCCTGCCTTTACGCCTGAGCCACCGCCTCTCTTTCCCTCCTCCCCTCCCCGTCCCGCCCCACCCCGCCCTTTCTCCTCCGCCCCTCGCCCTCCCCGCCGGGAGCGGCGCGTTGCCGCCCGAGGTAATTTTAATTTCGGCGGTCTCCAGAGGAGCGCGCCCGCGTCGGCGCCGGCCACGAAATAAGCATATTTGCGTTTAACGCGGTGGCGGCGCAAGTATGTCGGTGGAAATAGTTGTCTCGCCACCGCAGACATGTAGGAGAAATACCTCTGCTCCCGACGGAGCGCTCCCAGCGCGAGACGAGATACCCAAGCCTGTGGGACGCAAGCCCAGGACGGGTGGGGACGCCAGCAGCCGCGGGGCGAGGATGTGGCGATGGGGTAAGCGTCACTCTTTACGTCCGTGAATCTTTGGGGCGCGAGAGGATGTAATGGAAAGAGAATTTGCGGCAGAGGAATGGGAACTTTGAATGAAGGAATCCTTGTGATGGAATTGCGTTGCGCAATTTGACGTAGACTACAGAGCAAATGTTTTCGTCATTGGTTTCGACTTGATACCAGAGATTCCGTGCCTTATTCTTGGCAGTTGACTTTTGGGATTAACTTTGGCTAATTTGTTACATTCCTGACGATATAAGGGAATAAGTGTATATATTGAAAATAAGAAAATCAAATATGTGTAAATACATACAAAATAATATGTGTACCTACGTAAATTAAATAACTGAGATTATGACTGAGAATTCCATATTACTGGTAGATGAACGAATAAAGTGCACAAAATAACCTCTTTTAAAAAGCAAATAGGTCTCAGTGACAAGAATACAGTTCTTTCGTTCATAAATAGAAAAGTGTCTCTTCAGAAAGTTGTTTTGAGCTAAAAAAGATTTTTCTGAAACACTAATTAATATTAACAACTGCAGAAACTATTTATGAATGATCCCTGGATGTAGAATAATGAAAGTCAGTTAACACAAGGTTATCGCAAAATCGATATCATCATTTTCCTAATTTTCTGTTAGAAAATAAACATTAATTTAAACCAGTTCAAAGTAAACTTCATGAAAAATTGTTCAGTAAATGTCAATGATATATAATAACTAAATACCTGTGTTTTCAGAAAAATATTAACGTTTGTGAAAAACACATATTCGTAATTATGTGTGAAGTTTTTTTGTAAAGTTGCAGCATACATAAATAATTTTCATTTCAACTCTTACATTTATTTACTATCATATTCGCTTAATGCATTGGCACGTTTTAACTATCCTCTATGTTTATTTTAACATAGACAACTTTTCTAAAAAGAATTGTGAGTAACCGATGATAACAAAGCGTACTGTGCCACTGAATCTTAAAAGTGAAATGATCGCGAGGAATGTATTTAACTAATTTGCTCGTACATGAATGTATGTTACGGACTGAAGATAGATGGAACAACCTGAGCATAAGAGAAACCGGTCTGGATCCTGAAATTCCTCTTTGGATCCCCTTATTATTATTTTGAATAAATATGTTAAGAATGGTATCTTAAAAACGAACGAGTGCATTAAAACAGAAAAACGGGGGGTTTTGAATGCAAAGAGTTCTACAAATATTAATTACTTTGAATACATTGAGTAAAATTACTACACAAATGATCCGTCAATATGAGGGCCACTAATCAAAAAGATTTTAGTCTAATAACTTTCAAATTATTGATAGTATATGCTTTCTACAAAGTGTCTCTCTATTGCACGCTGAACGTTCATAGAACACTTTTAAAAACGAAAAAATTATCACAAATGTAACTCACAATGCTAACTAAATTATTTACACTCCTGTTAACGCAAATGAGAGTAAGTGTGCTAGAAGAGGGCGGTACGTGCGATGCAGCGCCGTGTCGACACGTTTTTGTTAATTTCTTGACGCGCTATAGCATCAGTTTTAGATTGCCGGCTTGACGAACTCGAAACTTTACGGAGTCGTGGCAGATCCGTGGCAAAAAGAAAGAAAGGTGGTTGATTCCGATCTCCGGCTGGGACCTCTCCCCCTACATGCAAAACCTGCGACGGTGGGGCGGACCGGCGACCCAAAATACGATTCACAGCACGGCTCCTTAATCCGACACAGAGGCAACATGACCACAGGAGGTGACCTGGTGGGTTTGGCGTCAACCTCGAAGACGACACCTGAGCACTAATAATAATTGTTTCACTCTTAACCGCTGGCTCGCCCCTTCAAGCGCGTGACTTGGCCTCGAAAACTCTCACCCCACGACGGCGTCTGCTTCCGCGTCCAAAACCACGGCCTTTCAACTCCCGTTTACAGTGCCGCGCTCTCCTGTAACACCTTCTTAAAGAATACGATCTAAAATAGGAACTGCTGCCACCGATACATACAACGTGCGTGGCTGCTGCGTCGGTTCGCGAGACCCAAGCAGGCCCAAATGTTACAAAGGTCGAGTTGGTGTTTGCGCTTTCATATGTGTAGGAGCTGAAGGCAAGCTGGGTTGAAAACACGCTGTTAATCAGAGAGAACATTTGATACTAGTGCTTTTGACGGGTTTAATTATTAAATAAATGTATACGTATTTATGGATTGGTAATTCAGAATTTTGATTAGGCGAATAAATAATTTTTGCTGAGGGCTCTTGGACTTATAGATGGCTAAGTGCATTTTATTTACATCTAGCTGTAGGATATGGCGTTTACAAAATTAAGTGTGCGATATTTGGAAATAGCAACTCATATGCCTATAAGCCTTTAAGAATGTTTGTGTTCTGCCTTATTCACGTGGGTTTGTACTTTAATTTTTTGTTTTTATTTAATAAGTTTTTAAAAAGGAACACTTCTCTTGGTGTAGATTTTTAACCAGCAACACAAGTTAGAATTGTGAAACAATAATAATAATAGATTTTATTTCGGTAATGGGGCTTTCAACAGATTTAACCATAAGTTTAAACATACAGATTTTAGTGGTTTGACTCACAATTGCTCGAAAATTGAAAGTGGACTAAATCACCAGCACGTAAATTCTTGCGTTCCATCGCCTCAACTCCCTGGCCATTCCGTCCGCCGAGGACATGTGTTGAGCGGGGAAGTTTCTTAGCCGAACGCCGCGCTGCCAAGTGCGGACTGCGCGGAGGGAAGTTCCGGGCAACAGCCGCCGTCGTCCCAGGGACGACGCATTATATTCCGACGCGTTAAATAGGGGGAGGCTCCATTAGAAGCGACGACTTACCTCCAGCGCGAGACAATGGGGCGGTGCCGCGCCGCCGCCTTTCGACGCGGGAGGGGCGGGGGGGGGGAGTTGGGATGGGGAGTTGGTTGAGGCGGAGAGATGAGCGTAGTGAGGAGGATTCGAAATGCTGGGGGGAGTGGACTTGGAAGAGTGGGATAGGATCGAAAGGATGGGGTCTGGTGAGGTGGTAAGAAGGGTGAGGGGGAGGAGAAGAACTGGGAGAGGCACTCGTAGTTAGGAAGATGGTGGGGATGTGCGAGAAAAGAAGAAGTATTTGGGCATGCTGAAAAGACTAAGGAAGGGTAGGGTTTTAGCGGAGAAGCGGTGAGTGGGGTGGGTATGCTGGTTGTTGGATCGAGCATGCTTGATGACATTGACGAGGCGGAGAGGTGTGGGAGTAGTTAAAAGTGGGAGCGGGGAGATGTGAGAGTCGGCTGATGTGGGGGTGGGGAGATTTGGGAGAGAAAATATGTTTTCGGTGAGGTGTAGGGACGGTGCGACGTGGGGCGATGAGATATAGGGGCGGGGAATGTAGAGATGTGGGGCTGGAAATATCCGGAGCTGGGATATGCGAGGGCGGGATTTTCCGGGCTGGGATATGCGGGTGGGTGGCGATGATGTTGGACCGAGGTTGTCGAGACGGTGGGGGAGGTGTTGCTGTGGGAATGTTTGTAAGGAATTGAAAGACGGGAACGGTCGCGAGTGGAAACACATACGGCAGGCAGAATCGCGGGTGTGGAGCGGGGCGAGGTGCATTAGAAGTGAACGGGGCAGGCGCGCCGGTGGGTGTGGGCGGGGCGAGGGCGCCGTGCGGAGTAATGCCTCAATTTGTACGGCGGCGGCCGCGCTACGGGGGAGGGCTTTCCTCAGCTGAGAAATGGCGGACGCGGAGAGCGGG